TTTTTTTTTTTTTTTTTTTTTTTTTAGTAGAGACGGGGTTTCACCGTGTTAGCCAGGATGGTTTTGATCTCCTGACCTCGTGATCCGCCAGCCTCGGCCTCCCAAAGTGCTGGGATTAGGCGTGAGCCACCGTGCCTGGCCAATCCATCACCATTTCTTAAATGAATGAGTAAATAAGATGAGAATCCAGACCAACATTCCTGGGTAAAAACTCCAAAGCTTTTTCAGGAGATCCCTCAAACCCATGACTTGCAACACAAATGGAGGCAGGATACCAGTTAGGAGTTCTGCCTGGTGATCAGGGACTGAAGAGTTCATGTGAGTATAAATAATTATTCTCTTCCCCCAAATCCAGATCCTCTGTGGAAGTGTGAGTTACTTTAGCAGCTTAAAAGACACAGGGAAGCCACATGAAAATGATAAAACCATAGGAATCTTTGTTTAAATTTATTTGACACATAATTGCACATATTTATGGGGTACATAGTGATATTACACATACAAGGTATGCATATGTAATGCATATAATGTATAGGAATCAGATTAAGGTTATTAGCATATCCATCATCTCAAATAGTTGTCATTTCTTTGTGTTGGGAACATTCATATCCTCCTTCTAGTTATTTGAAACTAAATAATGTATTGTTGTTAGCTATAGCCATCCTACTGTTATGTCAACAAAAGGGAAATTCCTTAATGTCCCAGCCCTGAGCCAGTGCAGGGGCAACTTACATCAGCAGCTGGGATGTCCAGGAAGAGGAAGTTTCAGAGGGCCAGGTTCAGACATAGTGCCCACTTCGAAACCTGGGAAATCAAAGATTTGCCCTGGTGGTCTGGGCATCTCTCTTTTCTCTTGCAGAGGTGGCAAAACTCAACCTCCATCCTCTTAGGGTCCTACCTGGGCCCAAGAATTAAATTGATGTAAGGGGTTAACAGGAGAAAAGCATACAAATTTATTTAATACATGTTTTACAGGACATAAGAGCCCATATAGGGAAAAGAAGATCCAAGGAAGCAGTGAGAGTCAATCGCTTCCACACTGGTTGCATAAAGGACAGTACATTTTGAAAAGGCAGCTCAATTTTGTGGGGAGGCTTAAAATATAAGAATTACTTGAACAAAGTCTATACAGAATTCTCTCGGCTTTAATTTCTCATCCTTGATAAGGAGAATGGTATTCCTTCTGTGACAGGGAGGCCATCTCTCACGTAAGAATTTCATCTCCTGCCGTTAAGACACAGAATTAAGATCAGAGTGACCCCCTCATGTCTGATATTTTTTAAATATCTTTAATTCAAAATAGTCAATATGCCAGAGCAGCACATTTCGATGGCATAATTCTTAACCTCTTCATTCTCTTCCTCTTGAAGATGGCACGCAGCCTCCTAAGAGTATGAAGTTTACTGCTACCACAGTAGAGTGTAAAAATGGCTTCCTTTCCTCACTCCAAGAGACTCCAGGCCCAAAAGATAACTCCAGAAAGTGAGGAACTAGAGCATAGGCCAGAACTTGCTTCTTTTCCATCTACCCTGAAATAATCAAACACTCTCTAAGGCACAGTCAAGGAAAGAATGCAAAGAATGAAAGAATTTACAGACACGTCTGTCTGTCTGGGCTTTTCTCATAAAATGTGGCCCTCAAAATGTCATAACGGGAGTCATGGCCGGGCTTGACTTCTAATGATGAGAAAAGTTAGATAATGCCATCCTTTCTGTTTTTCACAAAAGCAGAGAGATCTCTTGGGAAAAAAAGGATTTATTCTTCTTTTTCTTCTTTAGCTCTATAGACAGATGGGGACAGTGAGTGGCCCAGGGAGGAGTTGGACATCAGAATTTAGATTGTAAAAAGGAACACTGGGGAGGGCTAACTTGGTTAGTTTGCTTTAATTACTAGTAGCCAAAGGGCAACTCAAAATGGTTTGCACCATTAGGAAAAGTGATTATTACACATACCAAAAAAAAATCCCGGGGAAGAGGGACTCCAGGGAAGAGGCTTGTCAATTCAATGGCTAAGGAGGTCCTCCTGGACCATCTTTCCACTTTCTGCTGTGCTTCTTCAGCACATCACCTTCATCCCAATGCTATTTCCTCTCAAGGTAGCTGTATTAGTCTGCTAGGACTGCAGTAATAAAGTGCCACAACTGTGTAGCTTAAATAACAAAAATGTATCGTCTCACAGTTGTGGAGGCTGGAAGTTCAAGATTCAGGCATGCACAGAATTGGTTCCTTCTTAGGGCTGCAAGACAGAGTCCATTCCATACCTCTCTCCCAGATTCTGATGGTTTGCTGGCAATTGTTGACATTGTAGATGCATCACCACGATCTCTGCCTTAATCTTTACATGGTGTAGCCAGTATTCAAATTTCTCTTTTTAGTAAGAATACCAGTCATACTAGATTAGGAACCCACTCTACTCCAGTATGAGTTCATCTTAACAAATTACATTTGCAATGACTCTATTTCCAAACAAGGTCACATTCTGAGATCCTGGGGATTAGAACTCAAACATATCTTTTTTCGGGGGTGGGGGACACAATTCAAAACAAAACAGTAGCAAAATGGCTGCTCCAGGTGTCACACTACAAACAAAGTCCCTAGAAAGAAGAGGCTGTATCTTCCTTACTCCTTTTGAGATACTTCACAGCACACACAGCATCATGTCTCAGTGGTCATAACTATGTCATATGCCTACCTCTAACCAATCACTGTTGAAAGCACTGGTATTGCAGAGATGTGGAGGTGAAATATTCCAGATAATGCAATTACTATTTTGCCTGACAAAGAGAAGGAACATAGTCAAGTTTTAAGCGTGTGAGTTACCATGTTTCCGTAATCTTTCAGTCCTCTAAGTTGTTAGCTTTTCTCCTTTTTCCTAATCACATCTATTAGCTTTTTTTAGAATACATGTTCATTGAAGAAAATTGGAAAGCATTAAAAACAATATATTTTGAATAATTCAAAAATCCCACCAAGACTTCTTCTAATTTCTCTTCTAATTTACTGGTAAGCGTGTGTTTATTGAAAAAAATTGAGACAACATTAACATTTTAAAAAGAACCAATTTAAAATGATTCATAATCCCGTAGAGCTATCCCCTACTAATGTACTAGAAAATATTTTTCCCATATGTATATGTTATGTATACATACATACATATATAACAAAAAGTGTGGCTTTAGTGTGCATACCTCTGAGTAGCCTGCCTTTCTTCAGTTAGTATTAATTTGATTGTTTGCATTTCCTTTCTCCCTGTAGTAATGTTATTAATCACAACTATCTGGAACACCTTACCCCCAACACATATTTACACTCTACAGTTCTCTTTTGGTATCATTAATTGCAAAAGAGTTCCAGCTCAAGTTAAGTCACAGGATAAGGCTCCTGGAACCAAGAGGAGAGAAGACGTCTGATAAGAAATGAATTAGACGTTATTCATTAAACCTAAGTCAAATAGTCAAATGCTCCCTCCTCTGTGAAGTATTTTTCACTGACTCCTCTTCCAACCCAAGGAGAATTCTCCCAGTTGTGCACAATTACTGTTGAGTTGACCGTCCATGTTCTCTAACATAACACTCTGATTTGTGGTATTATTGGTTTTTCACATGCCAGGATACCCTTGAGAGCAGAGATGAGCTCTGATTTATTTTTATATCTCCAGGCCTAGCATCAGTGGACATTGAATATGTGTTTTATTGAACAAATGAATTCATTCATTCATTCATTCACAGAAGAACAAGCTCAGAATTTTTTTCCTTCTTCTCTACCATAGTTCCCTACAATGGTTTATCACAATTTCAAAAAAGAGGCAAAGTTTGAACAGTTAATTTTTAAGTATTATTTGGAAGAAAGTGAAATATAATTATTTCAACACTAACCTAGATATTATGCTTGAATATCAGTGAGGTATGTGCCTCAAAAAGCCAGATGTCTATAAAAATCAAATAATAACTTGACAACCAGGTGATGGTTGCTAAGAGACTGCATTTTTCTGTGAACACATGATGTATGAAGTGTGGCCTAGATTCACATCCTACATTAAACATCTTCCTTGGAGTTATCTATAAAGTCTGATTTTGCATGGCTTGTCAAGGTATGTAAGTTATTCCCTCAGTTATCCTGCTCCTGCTGTTAGAAATCATACGGTTCTATACATAGAATATTATTTCAACACCATTATCTGTTCTGAACTCAAGGTTGTTTAGGTTATAGATTGAGGCCCCTTTTGGCTCCAAAACTTTTCAGTGGCATCAAATGTTAGTTACCCTCTCATAGTTATCACTGAGGAACAACCTTCACTTTTGATGTATTAATTGTGCTAAATGAAAAAATGTAAAATATGTACAATGTTTCTATGTCTTCCAAAGTGAAATAAAAATAAATAGAAATTATCCACGAGTTTTGAAAGATTTTTACTCCCCACTACTGGAACATAATAGAGATTTTACTATACTCTGCCTAGGAAGTTGACTCCCGACATTGATAGTGGAGTTCCAGAAAGTGCTGAGGAACTGTGCTAAATTCAAGAGCTGGGAATTTTGTTTGAAATAAATATCTCAATATTTAACTGCTGTATTAATTAGAAAAATTTTATTGCAAGAAACAGAAACCCAAATCAAATTAACTAAAGCCAAAAAGGACTTACTAAGATATTAGAATAACTTGGGTAACTTACAAAATTGAAGGAACTAAAGAAGAATAACTGAAAAGTATTAAGGATGTCAGGAACTGGAACCAAGGACAACACAACAGCTCTCTCCATCCAGTCCCCATAGCTTCTACTCTTTTCTCAGCATCCATCTCATTTTCCTAGGTTTCCCCTTGTGCCAGGAACATGACCACCAGCAGCTCTGGTGTCAAATACAAGAGGCAAGAGCTTTGGCTCTCCACATCCTTAGAAGTTTCTGTGTAAAGATTACAATTGACCCAGACTGGGTGACTTGCCCAGCTTGTGGCTAACTGGTGAGGTTAAGTGCATTGGTTGACAATCTTCAGTAGCGGTTGGGAGAAACCAGTTTCTAAAAGAAAGAGTGAAGCTTTTACATGGAGAAGTGCAGAAGTCAAGGTAGGCAGACACTATCAACAGAAGTGCATTGCTCCAAACATATCCAAACATAATACCACTTTCACCAGTTTTGTCACCACAAAGTAACAGGACAACCAGCTCCTAACTTATACAATGTCATCTTTATGACTATTCTAAAATGCTTTGAACTTTTTCATCTTAAAACACCAAAGGATCGCTATGACAGTGCAGGTGCTTTTTCTCACATGCATCCTTCTACAAAATGCTTAGACATGATTTCTGAGACTTACTTTTCACAAATTAAAAGATTTTTTCATGGAGACACAAAAGATACAAAAAGTAGAAAGATCCACATGAAGCACCTTCCTCCAGTTTCTAAGGCTTCTAAAATCAATGTTTCCCAGTTCATTAACAAGCTCGTACATAATTATTAGAGTAACACCATTAAAGTTAGCACATATAATGACTCCCAAGGAAAAAACATTGTCTATATATAAGCATCGCTGTGAATGAATGGAACGTCTCAGCAATATGGTCACAAGCAGCCATCCCGGTGTTCTCACTCAGATATTCCACGTAACACTTCATAGTATGCTTTAAGTGAGGGAATGTGACCTATAGATACATCTACATGAGAAAGATTCCCATAGGGCATAAACAGTTCAATAAGCAATCATAAAAATGTATTCATTCTTCCCCATCTAGAAATCTATGTCTTTATTTAAAAATACGTGATCATTGATGCTTAAGGACGTGTTGTCAGACAGTTGGTTACAGTCTTTTATCTAGTCAAAAGATTCTAATCTGCCAGAAATGTGATAAGTCCACTTATAACTAGTCTCTCAAAATATCCTAGATATTTTTCTCTGTATGCATAGTTATTCGTACAAATTAATCTAACCCAATTCCATCTTGTTACCCTAAAACATTTAATGGTAATGACTTCTTATCATCTTTCATCCCCATAAATTTTCTCCTTGCTTTCAGTGAGTTGCAAGTTCACTCCCATCTACCTACTTGTAGTGTATTCTTTCTCCTGCCAAATTCACACAGTCACCTCCTCTTCCAGAATAAGACATTTACTGCTGATCAATCACAGCCACAAGGGAAACAAACAACCGCCATGCTCAAATGAGGATAAGGTGAGGCAGGTCCAATAATTTACAAAGGGACTAGTTACAAACATGCAAGTGGGGTACAGGGAAACCACAAGTGATGCTACATGAATGCAGGGCTGAAGACAGCAGAGCTGTTACTACCCTTAGGCCAAAGGGACAGAGAGATAGCGGGCACCAAAACCAAAGGAGAGGAATCCACAGGCAGATGCTGACCCAGCAACTGTTTTTTAGATGAACTAGGTACAGAAATTGAGAATAAGCATTTATAAACTTCAACAGCAATTCCATAGAATAATTGTGTCTAATAAAAAATGAGGTTTATCTAATAATAAAAATAGGGTTGGATTTTCTATGTCTTTTTTTTTTTTTTTTCCCGAGATGGAGTCTTGTTCTGTTACCCATGCTAAAGTGCAGAGACATGATCTTGGCTCACTGCAACCTCTGCCTCCTGAGTTCAGCTCTTCTGCCTCAGCCTCCTGAGTAACTGGGATTACAGGTGACTGCCACCACCCCCAGCTAATTTTTTCTTTTTTTTTTTTTTTTAAGTAGAGAGGGGGTTTCACTGTGTTGGCCAGGCTGGTCTCAAACTCCTGACCTCGTGATCTGCCCACCTCAGCCTCCCAAAGTGCTGAGATTACAAGCACGAGCCACCACACCTGGCCTATATCTTTATTTTTAATTGTATTTAATTTTTCTAGTAATTTCTTTCAATTCTATCTATTTACAGAAGTGCCAGCTATTGATAAATTGGAAATAAGGAAAACATGCTGGGCCTTCACCACAGATATTTTAAGAAGCTTTTCTCTGGAGCAGGCCTTCTTGAGCAAAACAGGCAGCCCAAGGATACCCAATAGGAGGATAGTCAAGGAAATCGATACTCTATCCTTTCTCTCCTCACTTCCTCCAGTCTCTTGTTGAAGTTCTCCATTTGACTATACCCATTGAGGTCCATGTGGGTCAGTCTCTGGGGAAGGATACAGAAGGGGTAGAGAGTGGATCCCCACCCTGTACAGTTGAAAAGTCTATATCCCCAACATAGCAAATGCACGAAGTCCCATCACCACAGAATGATGTCATTTGTCACAGAGTAATGTCTCCCTGTGCCACTTATCAGCTTACTGCCGCTGAACTCCAGATTCACTCTAAATACATGCTCTGTCATAATGAATAGAATTCCTTTAGCACCCATCCATTACAGTGAGCAGGATATTGAGCTGTCTCAGTAGAGGGCGCTGGAGGGATACTACAAGAGGAAGGGGCTCTCCTGCTGTTTGCAGCTGCTGCAAGAGGTCAGCAGTGTGGGTGGGAGGGCTTTGATCATGGTCTTGCCTGGCTGCAGCCCTGAGCATGTGGTTCCTTTGCAACTTCTCACCTGCAGACTGGCCTAGTATTAAAAATAGAACCCATTTCACAGGCTTGTTGTAAGTGCTAATTTTTAAAGGGCAGATATAATCAGTATATTAACATGCAGTTCTCACAGGGGTAACTAAACAACTTTAATTTTGTTCCTCATTGTCCTTGTAAGTCTTCTTGGGGGAGAAGGACTGGCTAGCCCTTCTCCTACCCCTGGATGAAACTTGGGGTGGCACAATGGCTATTCTGACACAGGACTTTGGGGGAATATAAAATCCTACAATCACTTGAAGACACATAGTCTCAAGTCAATTATAGAAAGTGTCCAATCCAATGCATCAATCCGTAATTCAATTTGTATTCAAAGGTAAGACTTCTGAGAAGGAATCCTTCTATTTCCTCACTCTCCACTGTTCGCTAATTGGCTTTTGGCCCCTCCAGGGTTAAGTGCTTAGATGAAGGAAAGAAAAGAGGGGATAAAAACGTTCATACTTGACAGATACTGTCAAAATGTGGCTTAATGCTGTCTGACAAATGCTTAAGACTAACCATTCTCTTATAGGCACTTTTGGGATTCTTCAGAGGGGCTCCTGCCAAGTGATGTAATCTAGTTCTCCAATTGCCCCACATGACTCAGTCCTTGGTTTTCCAGAAGTCCACTCAGTACTGACCTTCTTCTATTTTCAAGATAGCACCCCTCTTACACAAGATTTTAAATTGTTCCAAACCAGATCTTATACACCACTCGGCTCACACTAGACCAAGGGAATATCCAACTACCCTTTGTCCCAACAAACTCTAGGACTGAAGGTCAAGCTGAGGTAGCAACAACTCTCCTCACTTCACCTGCAAAGGCACTTTGCAGCCCTCCTCTGAGCCTCTCTATTTCCTGGAAGTCAGACACCATCCGCAGTGTCTGTGAGGTCTGCTAATGGAGCTTGCCACAAAATACAGACTGAAACAAGTTTTATAAACTTCCTCAGCTTTTTGAGAGAAGGAAGAATTTCCTTTTTGAATTCTTCCAAGATTTCCATAACTTTTCATCTTTATTTTTCTTTCCTATGACCCCTAAGCAAACATCCTGCTGGTGACCATAAGCATGGCAATAAATTATCCACGTGTTGCCTCACTGGGGTTTTACTACTAGTTGGTCTATACTATTGTGGGGATAACATGCACAGTCACTGCAGAAGGAATTAAGCCATTGTATAAACTTTAAAACATGCAAGCACTACCCATTAAAATTGTTCCTTGGTATTCTTACCGTATATATCCAAAGTAAATGAAGTTGAGATTTGATGTCACCAGTAGCCCATTTAATTATCTACAAGAATCAGATGATAAACTATTCAGATCCAACTTTTCTTGTACTGACTAGCTATAATAACCCACATGGGGCAGGGGGAGAAATAAGTGGCTGTTTACAATTATTTTTGCCAGTATATGCTAATAGTACTTAGTTTCATAGTTCTGGATATGGCTCCAGTAATCAGAAGAGCTTTAAACAGAAAGATCAAAGTCCATAGAAAAAGAGTTTTGTTTCCATTTCCTTAGAATTTAGATCATCCTGTGAAAAACATAGGATTTCTTCAAGGTAAATAAATACTACTCGCAAGAGGTTAAGACAGAGAAACTATAAAGACAAGTAGTACAAGTGTGTAAAGAATAATACTGGTTATTAGGCAAAACTGCTCAGACGGACCAGTAGAATTAAAATAGTTAAAGTGACAAGGGATTGATCTGAAACAAGTCATGAGAATCCCTACAAAAAGCAGTTCCATAAACTGGCTGCATAAGAACCATCTGGAGTCATAAGTTTCTGAATTAAACTGATACAAGCCTGTCTGTACCTGAGACAGCCGACATCCATTCAGGGCTTCTTTTCAGTAAGAGAATTCTGATTTTATTGCTGGTAGTGTATCCAGCTGAAAGCAATGTTTCTCAGCTTCTCCTGAAGATTGGTATGGCCATGTGATTAATACTGGTAATTGAATACAAGTGGAGATTGTTGGAGGCTCCTTAAAGTGGGATGAAGAGCTGGGTGTGAACTTTTTGCCTTTCTACCCATTACTCCTTCTGGCTATGTAGAATTTAGACCTTAAGGCTGAATCTCTAGCAACCATCTTAGAGCATGAAGCAATCTTCAAGGTGGGAGTCACAAGCTAAAGATGGCAGAGCTGACAGATCAAAGGAGTCTGGGTTCGCAACCACCATGGAACTGCCATGCCAGTCCTGCACTGCTCCTTCCACACTTTTATAAGAAGGAAAGTAAACCTAACATAGACAATCCCCTGTTATCATACACCATCGAATCCTAAACACAGTGCTACTGGCATTTTCTTAGCATTACCAGATTGCAACAGATGATTTTCATATTCAGGCACGTATAACTACCTTCACAATGCTACCCGGCTGTCGGTGATTACAGCATACCATTTGGGGAAATGCATGTCTTAGAATTAATGAAACAGGTATTTGAAGTCTTCAGTTTATCCAGCTGCCTTAGCTTGCCTGAAATCTTACTCATTAACTCACTGATTCTGGGAACATCCAGAATTGGAAATTTCCAATATGGAAGAGAAATGGCCATGAGAGAATGCCTTGTGCATACCCGGCACAGAAAGGAAGCTAAGGAAAAGCAATCCAACACAGACATTGCCACCCACAGTTGTGTGGAAGGCAAAGTATCAGTGAGAAAGCAGCTGTAGTAACATCAGTGTTGGAGAATCTTATTTATTATAGGGTTAAGAACCTCTTTACTGTAATGGACCTTAAATGAACACAGAAGTCTGGTCTCCAAAGTGAGACCTAAAGGAAGATGATGCCAACCAGAGTACGGAGGACAGACTGGCAGTTAATGTTCCCCTGGCACAGGCCATCAGTAATCAGCTGTTGACACACCTATGTTAACTGTCTGGTAAACTCGTGGTGCTGTTTTGGCTCTTCTCAACTAGTTCACTTTTTAAAACTTTAAGCACCTCATTAAAGAAACCCTTTTAGATGTGGTAAATCAGAAACAGTCTACTAGGTAGGGCCCTACTAAGCAATGAGAAATCATCATACTACTATTCAGGGACTATTAAAATAGTGGACTCTCGGGTTGGCCATGCTAAGCAACTGGTATAGAAATAAGCCATGGCAGGGTTAGATTTGCAGTTTGAGCACATCACTGATTTCCTATTTATATCTTTCCCCCATAATACCAGATACATGGTAGTCACTCAACAGGACCCATATTAAATAACAAATGACACAATGCATGGTTTCAAAAGGTGTTTACTATTTGGTCAAACAATTTTTAATTGGAGTTCATAAAGTGAAATATATACTAAAATATATATTAAATATTCACCAAATCCGCATTGCTGCTACGTGAAAACATTTTTTGGTCTGTTGGAAAATGTAATTCCTGAGATCATTGTTGGGCTTTGTTCATCATTTTCCTCACCATCAAATCATCTTTCCTTAAGTGACTTGGGAGTGTGAATCTAAGATGTTCAATTTTAGACCAATTTTTTCTATCTTCTAAATGAGTAAACAGGCTCTATCTTTTATAAAAGGTAGAAAAATAACCATGGTGTGCTAATTTTTTTCAAGGTATACCATATGGAAAAGTGTAGGCTGAACACAAAAGAAGTCTTTTCTGAACGGCTCTCGATCACACATAAGGAACATATGTTTTCCAGTTAATCAGTCCTTGATGTACAGCAGTCCAGCTGTTGTTTTGCATTTATTAAAATATTCTCTGCTAAATAATTACGTTCATCTTTAAAAGTAAATTGCATAAAATTACATCCAATTTCTTGCTCTAAACCAACATATTCTTCACCTTCACAAAGCAAACACATGGTGCACTGAAACTGAGGTGTTACCAGCTTTACATACTGTTCTGCCATTTGTGAGGGGTGCAACCACAACATAAGTCAGAAAAAAAGCTATCCAGCTTTTCGTGAATGTGGTGAAGTTTACACTTAGCGATAAGTCTCTAAGCCTGAACTTAGCAGGGCTAGCAAAACTTTATTAATTTCCTAACTCCTATTATTTTAAAACAGTTTTCAAAATAATCCTGTAAGTTCCTAATTGAAATACAAAACAGAACAAAAAGCTGTGAGAAATCTTTTTTTCTTTGGCTCTTTAAAGACTTGGAATCATTTATATTAGTGTTGCATACATTTTACCTTCTACATTTTGATGTACTTGCTCTTGAAAGCACTAGAACAAATTAATTGAAATAAAACCTCTCTGAAACCACTTGAACCTTTGATCCTACCATAGAGTTTTAAAGACTTTCAAGAGGTAACTTGTATTTTCCCGAGTCTGAGTGTCTACATGATTATAGAATGCATGTCTCTTGCTTCATGGTGATATCCAGTATGCATGAAATACTGAAAAATAGGTATTTCCCAAAGATTCCTATATACCAGGCATCTCCGACTGACACTGAAAACCTTCTGAAGCATTTTTAACAACAAATAATGGACTATTTCACAGACTGACACCAATAATTAGTTTTCTTGACCTACAGTTGAAAGCAAAATTATCTTTTTAACTAAATAGGATCAGCTTCAAAATCCCTTTTGGAGATGTTTTTATCTATTAAATGCCTTTATTAACAACACCATCTTCCATTTTCTATTACTCCAATTCGATTTCTCCTGCATACAAGGTAATGAGCAGAATGGCTGTGAATCCAGTTAACATTCCAGCATTCTGAATCATGAAGAAGGTGAAATCAGTTTTTCTTCCAGTTACCTTTTCTCTCAGCATATCATTCATCTCTGGAAACTAGAAGACAGATATATTGTTAGATAATTGTTGCCATCTTGTGGCAAACCACAAAACAGTCACTTAGAGGCATACCTCGGAGATAGTGTGGGTCTGGTTCCAGACCAGTGTGATAAAGCAAACATCTCAATAAAGTAAGTTACATGAATTCTCAGGTTTCCCAGTGCATACAATAGATATAGTTGCATTATACTGTAGACTATTAAGTGTGCAATAGCATAATATCTAAAAAGGCAATGTATATACCAGAATTTTAAAAAATACCTTATTGCTAAAAAATGCTACCAATCATTCGAGCTTTCGGTAAGTTGTAATCTTTTTCCTGGTGGAGTCTCGACCCCATCTTGATGGCTGCTGACTGATTATAGAGTAGTGGTTGCTGAAGATGGGACTGGCTGTGAAAATGTCTTAAAATAAGGCAACAATGACATTTGCAACATCAATTTATTATTTCTTTCATGAAAGATTTCTCTGTAGTGTGCAATGCTGTTTGACTGCATTTTACCCACAGTAGAACTTATTTCCAAATTGGAGGCAATCCTCTCAAACTCTGTCCCTGTTTTATAAACTCTGTTTGTAGAATATTCTAAGTCCTTTGATGTCATTTCGGCAATGTTCACCAGGAATAGATTCTGTCTCAAGAAATCACTGTTTGTTCCTCCATAAGAAGCAACCCCTCATTCATTCTAGTTTAATCATGAGATTGCAGCAATTCAGTCCCATCTTCAGTCTCCTTTATTCTAGTTATCTTGCCATTTCCACTACCTCTGCAGTTGCTTCCTTCCCTGAACACCTCAAAGTCATCCATGAGTGTTGAAATCAGCTTCTTTCCAATTTCTGTTAATGTGGATATTTTGACTCCTCCCACAAATCACAAATGTTCTTAATATCATCTAGAATGATGAGTCCTTTCTAGAAAGTTTTCAACTTACTTTGTCCAGATTCATCAGAGGAATCACTATCTACAGCAACTATAGACTTACAGATTATTCTGAAAAAATACGATTTGTAGGCCCAAACTACTCCATGGACTGATCCATGGACTGCGGAATAGATGCTGTGTTAGCAAGCACAACAACAACATTCATCTCCTTGTACATCTCCGTAAGAGCTCTTAGGTGACTTGATGCACTGTCCATGAGCAGTAATGTTTTGAAAGGAATTTATTTTATTTTTCTGAGCAGTAGGTCCTAACAGTGGGTTTAAAATATTTACTAAACCATGCTGTAAATAGATGTGTTATCATCCAGGCTGTGTTGTTCCATTTCTACAGCACAGAGTAGATTCAGCATCATTCCTAAGGCCCCTAGGATTTGGGGAGTGGTAAATGATCATTGGCCTCAACTTAAAGTTACCAGCTGCATTAGTCCCTAATAAGACAGTCAGCCTGTCCTTTGAAGATTTGAAACCAGTCATTGACTTCTTCTCTCTAGTGTGGAAAGTCCTGGATGGCATGTTCTTCTAACAGAAGGCTGTTTCAGCTACACTGAAAATCTATTAGTTTAGAGTAGCCACCTTCATCAGTGATCTTAGATCTTCTGGATAACTTTCTGCAGCTTCCCGTCAGCACTTGCGGCTTCACCTGGCACTTTTATGTCACAGAGATGGCTTCTTTCTTAAACCTAATGAACACACCTCTGCTAACGTCCAGTTTTTCTTCCGCAGTTTCTTTACTTCTGTAAGCCATCATAGAGCTGAAGAGAGTTATTCCTTGCTCTGAAATAGGCTATTGCTTATGGGAACATTGTAGCTGCTTTGATCTTCTATCCATACCATTTAAATTTTATTCATGTCAGCAATAGGCTGTTTTGCTTTCTTATTATTTGTGTGTTCGCTGGAGTAGCATTTTTAATTTCCTTCATCAATCCTTTCTTCGCAGTCACAACCGGGCTATTTGGCACACAAAGTCTAGCTTTTGGCCTGCCTTGGGTTTCAACATGCCCTCCTCACTAAGCTTAATCATTTTGGCCTGTGATTTAATATGATAGATGTGCAGCTCTTCCTTTCACTTGAACACTTAGAGGCCACTGTAGGATTATTAATTGGTGTAATTTCAACATTGTTGTGTGTCAGGGAATAGGGAGGCCCAAGGAGAGGGAGATGGGAGAATGGCTGATTAGGGAGCAGGCAGAACACACACAACATTTGTCAATTAAGTTCACCATTCTATACGAATGTGGTTCATGGCACCCTAAAACATAATAGTAACATCATAGATCATTGATCACAAATCGCTAAAACAGATATCATAATAATAATGAAAAGGTTTGAAATATTTCAAAAATTAACAAAATGTAACAGAGACAGGAAATAAGCACATGCTATTCGAAAAATGGCACTGACAGACTCGCTTGAGGCAGGGTTGCCCACAGCTTTCAATGTGCAAGAAAGCAATGTGCAATAAAACAAGGTGCTCCTGTAATAGAATGCTGGGAGGGGCGATATGATGTCATTTACTTTGGATGTTCAAAGGTTTTAGAACAGATAGCTTAATAGGAATATCTAGTTCTTTCAGGCATCACCAAGAGTAAAATAACTGAAGCAGTATTTTTCCCCAACTGAATCAATCAGTGGGATGGAATTTACCTCATTTTATGTTCTCTTTCTCCTTTTCCATTACCCGTTCTTTATGCTTCACCTATCCCATTCTTTCACGACCTCAAGTTTACCCAGCAAAATCTTCACACCTACCATCACCTCTACCAGAACTTGTATTTCTCTAATTTTTCAGTGGACTAAATCCTTCACGTTTTACCTTATATCTTGCTAAAACACTTCTGCTAGCCAATCCTAGTTTATTCTAGATTCCTTTATTATCATCTCTCATCATATATTCTACTTTCTTATTTCATAGTTTTTATTATTTGTAATTATTTAGTTATCTGTGTGATTTCTTGTTGTTGTTGTTTAATTTCAGGATCCCCTCTTTCTAGAGGAAAAGCCCCACAAATGGAAAAGCTCCTTGAACTGTGCCTATTTTGCTCACTCCAGGATGAGTATTATTTCTTAGTATTATTTCTTTAAACTGAGCAACTCTAATAAGATTCTGTTCTTATATCAGAAAGTAAAATGACTATAAGACAGTATGAGACATTAATTTGTGAAAAAAGTTATAAATGTAGCATTGGTTCTAAGAGATGAAATCCTTGCTCTTCTGAGGGTCTGCAGAGAACAATCAACAGAGCTAGACAAATATAATTTGGAGGTAAGAATGCAGATGAAAAAAATTAAATTATTAAATCATGTATGTAATACATCCAGTTCCAAATACAAAAGAAATAGTCCTTGATTTTCATACACTACCATATTATCATTTTCTAGAAAGATGTCCATGATTTATTTGAAAATGCACAGGATATTCTCTCTCTTACACACACATGCACACTCTTTTTTTTTTTTTTTTTTTTTGAGATGGAGTCTTGTTCTGTTGTCAGGCTGGAGTACAGTGGCACGATCTCGGTTCACAGCAACCTCTACCTCCTGGGTTCAAGCGATTCTCCTGCCTCAGACTCCCAAGTAGCTGGGACTACAGGCACATGCCACCACGCCCAGCTAACTTTTGTAGTTTTATTAGAGGCAGGGTCTCACCACGTTGGCCAGGATGGTCTCGATCTCTTGACCTTGTGATCCGCCCACCTTGGCCTCCCAAAGTGCTGGGATTACAGGCATGAGCCACCACACCCAGCCATGCACACTCTTTTGAGCACACACACACACACACACACAGATGCAAAGACACAGACACTGAACAGATATAAATATATACTATGTCAAATAAATATTGTCAAAATTTTACCAATTTTAGTGTACCAGTTTTAGTTTAACCCAAAAAGCTGTCACTGTTTAGAACTTTGAAATAACAAAATGCTATTTACTCTGATAAGTTATTCCTCTTCCAAATGTGACACAGACACAAAAGAGGGAGAAAAAGTCCTATAGGGACATACTATAAGACAAGATGTGCCAGCCACAAGGGGAATAGAGATAGAGGAAAATATCTCTACTTCAACAAAAACAAATCATTTCACCTTCAAACAATATGATTATGTTTTAAAGAACCAATGAGGATAAGTTTCAAATTACTATTAGTATAAACTACTCAAGTAGAATGATCTGTTGAAATGGGAATGTTTTGAATTACAACAGAAAGGCCTTCCGCACTGTGGAAAGCAGAAGGCCAGCCATAGTTAACTCATAATCCAGATACTCATTTCCAAATTTTAAATTAAAACAAAATACAAATTTTAAGCTTCTTACCATATCTGCCAGAGAAATATAGAGGAACATGCCTCCAGCAAGTGCAAATATAATATTTGGAGCGAAATTGTTGCCCACCAAAATGCCAAAAGCTAGCCCAACATAGCAGGAACATGCAGAAAGGAAGTTGAATAGCAAGGCTTGTCGAGTGCTCATCCCTGCATTGAGTAGGATCACAAAGTCTCCTAGAAGAAGAAGAAAATATCAAGTGAATAGTTGGGTTTTTTGTTTTTGTTTTTGTTTTTGTTTTTAATTTCTGGATGAGATCAAAGATAATCATCAATGTCCAACAAGGTCTTCATTTTAGTGCATTAGAAGGCTTTTAAGAGCATGTCACCTGAAAAGTCTCATTCCACTGAAATCAAGAAGTAAGCAGACTTTTACAATATGAGCAGAGCTCCTTACCTAACTCGTGGGGAAATTCCTCACATAGGATTGCTATGGAAGTACTGAGTCCCTGAAGGAGAGACAAGGTGCAGGAAGCCCCAATCGCCAGGCCATCGATGAAATTGTGGAGGGCATCGCAGAGCGTTATCATCCAGGCAATCGTCCCTATTTCTGACAGTTTGGGCCCCTTCAAACAGGTACATGAACTTGGCTCTTTTTTTCCATCCTAGCAGAAAACCAATTAAAATGATAACCAACATTTCTTGAAAGTCTCAGAAATACAGACAAGTTGGAGATGGGTTATGTCTTGAAAAAAACAAATTGTTCCAACAGAAAGTCTTTTAGAGTAACTAGGAAACCCTAATAATACATAACAGAGAAAATAAGACTTATGGTCGAGAGAAAGGAAATTAATCAACTGACACACCTTGAATAAGCCACTAACAGACATTTTCCTTTACTTTCCCTTTAAAACAATCCTTTTGACTTATATAAACTTCTTCCTACTGCCTTTCTAAAATGCAGCAGATATTAACCTAAGAAATTTATTTATACACAAGATTTAAAATGAAGGAAGTTATTCAAAGACTAAACTTAAAGTCTTTTTCATGTTACAATTTAAATATGAAATCCACAACTAGAGCATGATGATATCAGGAACATTTGTTCTAATCCCTCCTATGCCACCATGTGACAGTGAGCAAGTTATCACAGAGTTCCTTCAACTATAAAATGAAGACATTGTACTAAATGATTTGTTTATTTATCAACAACTTATTGAGTTTCCATTGTGTTCCGGGTGCCATGTGGAGGGTTTAGGTTGTAACAATATGGTTCCTACAAGCTCCAAAGCTTAATTATTTTCTTAACAAATTGCATGAAGTGTAGATGGAACAGGCTAGCCTTTACACTAACACTTCTTTTCATGTAGAAACAATAATAAAAATAGAAAACCCTATGATGGACTCTTTGTAGGAATTTAGATTTCCAGGAAATTTACAAAATTGTACAAAATCAAATCAAATTGTACAGACAAATGCCAACTAAAACACTTTCCAGAAGTTGTAGAAAAAGATAAAATGCAAATTCATTTTTAAGTACAAAAGCAGTTTGCAATTAACTGGAGAACATTTTATTCCTAATTCTCCTCCTCTCACCTCTGCCTAAGCAGCTAATCATTATATTTATTGAACATCTGAAATCTGTAGAACACTCTGTTGAATGCTATGGGAAATACATGGAAATGGAAAACACAGCTTCTGTCTTTAAGAGGTGTATTTACGTTGGAGAAATAAGTCATAATATATACGGATACATTTTTAAAAATTGCAATATATATCCAACAGAGAGGGCTTACTTCAGAGCAACCATCTGAGAGGTTTTACATTTACTCCAATGTCACTTCACTACTCCGAACACTTTGGGGACCAACACTTTCAGAATCAACCTTAAATCTTGCAATACATCTCTTTACTGTTTCATTAGTGGCAAATCTGCACCTTTGGATTTTTGTTTGTAGGCACAGATAAAAGCATTTGGAGCAAATATATTTTTTAATTAA